AGGTCTCCCTGGAGCCTTCTCTTCTCCAGGCTGAACACCCCAACTCTCCCAGCCTGTCTCCAGAGCAGAGCTGCTCCAGTTCTGGATCATCTTTGTGACCATTTCTTGATTTGCTCCAAGAGCTCCATGTCCTTCCTGTGCTGGGGGCCCCAGCCCTGCAAGGGGGTCTCAGCAGAGCAGAGCAGAGGGGACAATCCCCTCCTTGGCCCTGCTGGCCATGCAGCTCAGGACATGGTTGGTTTCTGGGCTGCCAGAGCAAGTTGCTAATTCATGTCCAGCTTTCCATCCACCACCCAGAAATCAAGGTGCTTCCCCCTCCCTGCCGCATTTTGACCCTTTCCACAGCTTTCTTGCAATTCCTCTTACCTACACAATATCTGCTTCATGATCAGCTTGGGCAGAAGAACTAACCAATGTGAGAATGGCTGGGAAAGGGGCATCGGGGGGGTGATGAATACACTTTCTGCAGGGTGTAGCTCACACAGCTGTGTCAACCTCATTTCCACAGGAAACAAGTGTTATCATTATAAATCCTTCTAAATTAGAAATAGAGGTGTGAACAAAAGAGCTGATGTGGCATCTGGGGACACACTGGGAGCTGAACAAAGTCACAGAGCAGAGCCAGGGACTTTATACCATCTACCATTTAAAAACAAATGCTAAGAAATGCATCAAATCCAGCAACTCCCCCACATCCCCATTAACCAAGGCTCAGCATAGGGAGAATCTGAGCTCCTGGGGTTTCTGGAACTGTCCTTAAAACAGGAGTTTGAAAAGAACGTGCACGGCAGGGAGCTGATGCCCAACTGGGTTGAACTCTTCTTGCCACTTGGCTCAAGTTCCAACTCACCTCCCACTCTTTGCTGATCATCCTCAGAGACAGAAGGATGAAAATAAAGTGATTCACTGTATTTCTACACAAAGAAGTGCATTTCTAAACAAATTAACTCTTCTGTGGTATCTGTTATTTGCTGCATAAGGCTCCTGCTTCTCTTATTTTTTCCCCTCTCCTTTTTTCCCCTCCTTTTTCTTTGTCCTTTTTTCTTTGTCCTTTTCTTCTTTCTCTTTTTTACTTTTTTTGAAGAGCTCAACCACACTCCTAACTCCAGGGACTGGTTATACCAAGCAGAGCTGGGGTTAGAAATGAAGTCAGGAAGATCAGGGAAGAACGTTAAATTAACAGCCCTGCTCCAAAAGCTCAAGCCCTGAGTTTTTAATTAAATTAATTCCCTATTCATTCTTGGTGGATTTTGGTCATGGAGTAATTTTTAAATATCTACAGACTTGGGTGAGATGCCTGTTGCCCCCCACCTGTACACTCCTTTTGCACCTTTGTGACTTTCCCAAAAGGACTGTCAGGCCCTGGCTCAGGCTGCCCAGGGCAGGGCTGGAGTCCCCATCCCTGGAGGGGTTTCCAAGCCGTGTAGATGTGGTGCTGAGGGACATGGGGCAGGGGTGGCCTGGGCAGGGCTGGGGGACTGGTTGGGCTGGTTGATCTGAGAGAACCAGAACAATTCTGTGACTCTATTTTGGGTGCAGTTAAAGGGGGAGGACTCAACCCACCCAAGCCACCACAGGAGCCTTCCAGGTTTGGGACTCTCTATATGTCACAGGGTAAAATGATGGAAGAAGAACTTCCAGGATTTAAAGATTAATTGTAGGGTAGGGCAACAGCTGAAAAGACACAGGATGATTGTGGCCAAGCAGCAACCACAGCTGGAGGCTGTTACTGCAATCTATGTAGCAGATTGATTTGGTTTTGACCTGAGTGGCACCTTGGGGATGCAAGGAAAGCAGACCAGGAGCAGAGTTGGAGCCTGGAACAAGAAACATGGTGGGCTTCATTTGCAAGGATTCACGCCTTCTGTGTGCAAAGTGCTGAGACCTGCAGCGGCATGTCAAAGGAAACCCAAGAAACTCCCAGTGGGAACATGTGGGGAAAAGCATCCTTCACCAGAAGTGGATTTGTTACTGCCATGGATGACTCAACCAGAGATGTTGCTCCAGAGAGGAACCTACCCCAGGCTAAGCAGCTGACGGAGAGCTGGGGCTTCCAAACCACTATCTCTAACAGTCAGACCTGACTTCAAGAGGTTTTGGGTGATGACCACGTTCAGGCAATTTATTTGGGCTGCTGGAGCCATGCAGTAGGTGACAGCACTAGGTAAAAGCTCCTCACTCACCTTCAGGCTGTTGTATGCAAAATCTTCGTGCTCTGAAGTCCCTTCAGTCTTTGTTTCCATCACCTATGTATGATGAAAGACAAAGGAATATTTAAGAGCAGCCAGAGGAACTGGCACAGGGTGGCCAGCCATGTCACCATGACAGCCAGCTTCACCATAATCATAATAGTAATCATGTTATTAAGTGGCATTAGACACAGTCCCAGCAACACTGGACAGGGCAGGGGCCACTTGAGGAGAAAATGGTTTCATCTCTGATTAATATCTTGTCAACTGTGGCTCGTTGCAGCTTTCAAACCAAGGCAGTTATTAGGGAACAGACTTCAAGAGAGCAGGTGAGAAGCTGGTGTTCAATCAAGGAGGAGATGCTGGAGAAGTTGCCTGTTGCATGTGCTTCCTGCAAATGGCTGGAGGTTACTGGGCTGCCAGTTATCCTGATTTTTTTCATGTATTTGCTTTTAAAATTCTTTCCAAGCAAATTACCCTAGTGTAGAAAGCTTTTCTTTTCACCAGGAAGAAGGTATCAAAGGAACATCCCTACCCTGCAATCCAGAGGAAAGGAGGAACATCTGCTAACAGCTACCCTGCTATTTCTGATTTATTATAGGATTTTTAAGCTATATTCCTGTACTATCATCACTGGGGATTAAAAAAAACCCACAGAGATTCTAAATCTAAACCTCCTATAACCAGTTTATATTTAAAAAATCAGCTCACATCTCCTGCCTAATTGTCCTTAGCTGCCAAAGAACTTGCTCTCCATTTCCCAGATGGATTTGCTGCCTCTTAACTTGAACTTGTTCCTCTCAAACCTCAATTCCTCCATCACGTGTCCTCAGGTGACCAAGGAAAACCAGTTACTAACATGAAATATCAATGAAAAGACAACTCTCACCTGGGATTTCTTGCTCTCTTGCTCTTTTTTCTCCAGCTGGGTTTGCAGCTTCTTCCTTTCCTGCTCCAGCTCCCTCACTCTCTTCTGGAGCTTTAGGAAGAGAGTCATGTCCATGGCTGCTTTCTCCATCCCAACGTCCTGGAAAAGAGCAGGAGAGGGGAAAAAGGGGAAGATCTCAGTCAATTTTTATACCCATAGTGCCAGATGTGTCACTGCCAGCACCAGTCCCAGCCAGAGTCATGAACAGCAGCATCCCAAGACCAAATTCCCCATTTTCATAGAATCCCAGACTGGTTTGGGTTGGAAGGGACCTTACAGATCACCTAGATCCAACCCCCCCTGCCATGGGCAGGGACACCTCCCACTAGACCAGCCCACTCACAGCCCCATCCCCACTCACAGCCCCATCCATTTTAAGCTCCTATTTTTAATGTCAATGAGCAGTTGACTCATTTTAATAAATCACTGAATATTTAACAGCCCAGCATATAAGCAGGTTGGTGGTGGCCACAGGTAAGAACCCTGAGATGCTCTACTGAGTCCCTTCTAGTCAAGTATTTAGTAGCTGCTTTTTAATTGGCTTTACCTGGAGTATTTTATATTAAAGCATGGTCAATACTGATGATGTGACTTCAGCAAATGTTCAGAAATATGAAAGCAAGTAAACCCAGCAACCAGCAAAGGGACATGGGGGTTGCAGGAGTGCTACATGGGACACTAAATATGGTCCTACAGATCCCACAAATATTCATCATCCATATGTGGTCTTGAGTCATGAAAGTGGAGTTTAGAAATCAGGCTGATTCAGCAAATGTAAACAACAAAAACGTTCCCCCTTTCCATGCAATTCTTGACAGGCAGGGAATCATTTACACTGCACTTTTCTGCATTAAAGAGACTGTTGGTTACAGGAGCTGTCCAGGGCAGCGAAGCAGTCTGGACTTGTATGTTAAGCCTGACTGCAACCAAGAGATGCCATGTGATGCCTGAGAATATCTCCTTTTGCATAAAGGTCAAGGGTGCCTAGGCTGAAGGGGGACCTGCACGAGCAGCAGGTGAAGTAGGAGCAAAGAGAGCAATTCAGCATCATAAAATCATATTGGCTGGAAGAGACCTCTAAGATCATCCAGCCCAACCATTCATCCTGCCCAGGCCAGGCCAGCCCCATGTCCCTCAGCACCACATCTACACGGCTTGGAAACCCCTCCAGGGATGGGGACTCCAGCCCTGCCCTGGGCAGCCTGGCCGAGGACCTGACAACCCTGGCCAGCAAGAAATGCTGCCCAACATCCCAGCTCAGCCTCCCCTGGCACCACTGCAGCCCATTTCCTCTTGTCCCATCCCTTGTTCCTGGGGAGCAGAGCCTGACCCCCCTGGCTCCAACCTCCTCTCAAGGCAGCTGCAGAGCCAGAAGGTCTCCCCTCAGCCTCCTTTGCTCCAGCCTGGACACCCCCAGCTCCCTCAGCTGCTCCTCCTCACCCTTGTGCTCCAGACCCTGCCCCAGCTCCCTTGCCCTTCTCTGGACACGCTCCAGCCCCTCCATCTCCTTCTTGTCCTGAGGGGCCCAGACCTGACCCCAGGATTCCAGGTGCCCCCTCCCCAGGGCCCAGCACAGGGGGACCAGCCCTGCCCTGCTCCTGCTGGACACACCAGTCGTGATACAACCCAGGATGCTGGTGCCTTCTGGGCCACCTGGGCACACACTGGCTCATATTCAGCTGCTCTCAACCAACACCCCCAGGACTTTCTCCACCAGGCAGTCTTCACTTAATTACATTTATATCTCTAATTAAGTCTGACCCCACAAACAAGTAAGCACTTGCCATAGCACCACAACCCTGCAGCCCTTCTCACACAATTTACAATCTGTTTCTGTAGCACAAAATCAGTTTAATCCCTCAGACCAACACTCCAACCCACATTCCTCTTACATGCTTCAAGACCCATGTCAATCATCGCTCTCCTCCTCCCCAAGCCTGCCTGGTTTCCTGTACCTCCACTTGCTGTATCACATCCTCTGTGTCTCCTAGTTCAGAGGTTGAGATGGATGGATAATTGGAATCAGACTCCAAGCTGCTCTGGTTGGATGGGTTCCTCCTGTGTCCTGGTGCTTGCTGCCAAGGAGAGGTGCAGATACATCATGAGTTCAGTGTTTAAGGAAGGATTTATCACAAAACCATGTTTCTTAGAGCAAATGTGTCCATATATTAAGGTGACCTTAACAAAAGACTTGGCTGTCATGTTCTTCTAGTGAGTTCCATTTCCTACTTCTTACACCCTACCACAACATTAATATTAGCACAAGGGAAATAATTTCAAATATGAAGTGATGAAGAAGCAGAGTTGAAAATTTCTGCAAGAATTCAAAGGTTTTCATGACAACAAATGCCTGTTGAGTCCAAACAGGCACATCTGAGCTCAAGATTATGCTGTTCAGGTCCCTCCAGGGCTGTTCAGCCCTCCAAGGCTTCCTTAAAACTCTCAACCTTCCAACTAATCAGCAGCACTCCACTTATCATCTCATTTTCAACAGTTCTTCTAACACTTGAGCAAAGCTGGACTTCAAAATTGAAGCCATGTTTTTGGATGTGGCTTTTCGTGGTTTTTAATGCAACACCTACACTTGCACATCACCAAAACAAAGAGTAAAACCAGGAGCTTTTTTGCTGGGATTCACAGATATCTCCATGTAGTTGTGTGAAAGATTAGGCTCTTTTTTGAAGGCACACACATGGTTTGGCTTCAGTCTTAAAAACCAGTTCCATCTTGGAAACATTAAGCAGGAACTGTACCATGATTTCAGTTTTATTTAAATATTTTGGAAATGAGTGAACCACATTATCAAGCCACCAAGGTCAGGTCCAGGACACAAGACAACAGGGATAATTTCATTCCCGTTACCTTTATAACAGTCATTTCATCCCTCAAGTTGTCATATCTCTGCTCCAGCCTTGAATATTCTTTTACCAGGTTCTGGTAACGAGACCTTTCTTCTTCCAGCTCTTTCTTCATCTGGATGTTTTCCTCAGCTGTGTTTTGTGCAAATTCGTCTTTAAAATGAGAAGGAAAAAAAATATAAAAATGAAATTACCATCTTTGTCTCTGAAATGAACTTCTTATAAATCTGTGTGATGATAGTGACTAATTAAAAAAAATTCTCTCTGCCAAGAACTATTAAAAAACATATAAGCATTCTCTAATATTTAGAACCTATTATAAATCTAGATCTGTCTCCTTGCCATTTGGAACACCTTGAGCTCTTCTGCTCAGAGAGCAGAGTTCTCTGCCACTGGGGTTAAAGAAGAAGCTCTAGTACCTACAAACCATCAGATCTATTATGTTTAACTCAACAGTTCCCATGGGCCAGCCATAAACCCACTGAAGAAAAGATCAGCACAGGGGGAATTCATTTAAACAGGAAGAGGGAAGATTCAGGTTGGACATGAGGAGGAAATTCTTTGGTGTGAGGGTGGTGAGACCCTGGCCCATGTTGCCCAGAGAAGCTGTGGCTGCCCCATCCCTGGCAGTGTTGAAGGGCAGGTTGGATGGGGCTTGGAGCAACCTGGGCTGGTGGGAGGTGTCCCTGCCCATGCAGGGGGTTGGATCTAGGTGATCTTGAAGGTCCCTTCCAACCCAAACCAGTCTGTGATTCTGTGATTCTGTAAGAAGTGGCACATTTAAGAAGTGGCACTTGCTACATTTCAAGACTTCTCTGCCTGTTTCCCACCACCAGATTTTGCACAGAAGGAAACCAACAGCAGCACCTCATTCTAATGTCATCATCTACCTGTAGTAAGATTGTGGAGGCTGAAAGTACTTTATATCCAGGTTAATTCTCTCTTTTTGGTTAAAAACTCCCTTTTGGAAGCAAGTCTGGTCTCTCCTCTCTCTGAGACACCAGGAAAATATAATCTGTGTGTCCTTTTAAATGGGAGGACATCAAACAAACTCCCCTTCACTTGCCTGCCCAAAGGTTTGAGGCTCCAAAAGCATCTCAGAAGAGATGAATAAATATTTGCAGCAAGATTCTTTTGAACATGTTATTTTCCTTCCTTCATTTTGCATCAAGTTGAGAGCAAGAGGTACTTTGAAAAGGGTGATCATCAATAAAAAAAGCTCAATCCCTACAC